GGGCCGGTGAGGCTGCTCTTGGGAGAAGCGGCGTGGAAATAACCCGAGGGGTCCTAATGGGAGAGAGCGAGCGACCGAAGGATGCGTGGCCGCCGGTGCGTGCGCGGGTGGGCAGCCCGACAGACCCGTGGGCTCCTGCCATTTACAACAGGCATGTGACGGTGCGTTACTGTAAATAAACTTTCCTGATGTAATTGTTTATTTGTCTTACACAGGCGGAACACTCAAACTGCATCAAGCAAGATCTCCAAAAGTTGCGCACTGGATTAATGATCTTCCCCTCCCCAGGAATTAAGTTCATCAGGGTCACTGGGACGCAAGCGGTGCAGCACCTCAGTTTCACAGATACACAGCCAGCCATGTAAGACGCTATAGAGAAGACTGACCTGAGCCTGAGGAGACCTTCTTGAATGACCTCATCGTCTTCTGAGGAACCTAAAATCAGAGAGCTCGAGTCAGTACTGTGTACATTGTGCCAGAGTACCATATTTAATTACCTCTTCTCCAGTTTAACGGCTCATTAGAAGGCCATAAAATGCCAGGGCATTGACTCTGTGAAGTGACCTGTAAACTTATTAACTGTTTGAGACTTACCTAGCTCATCAGAACCACAATGAGATAACCAAGGCATAAAAGTCAGCTGCTTTTTTTTTTTTTTTCCCCCCCCCAAGCGTCCATAAATGCATTGCACCTCTCATTGGTCTCTTATGAAAGCTATGCAGTGGATGACAACAGAGGGAAAAGACACAGATTTGCAGGATATTGGAAGGTGTTTGTTTCCTGTATCAATATTTAATTGCAATCGGTAACCCAAGAACTAGTGAATTGTCTTTACTACTCTCAAATTGTATCAATTAATCAGTCATACCTTGTATATGATTTACAAAAAAAACAATTAAAATGATTCTCTGGGATTCTGTCATGCTCATAATTGTAATTCGATGCCAATTTATGAGTACCAGTAGAAGAATGCTTTAAGTTATGTCAGTTTTAAAATTGCAGAGCAGAATGTGTAATAATACTAAACTATAGGTCTCAATCTGAACAAAACCAATTAGTCATAAAAATAGAGATGTGTGACTTCACCGAGACTACATGGAAGGTGTACTTTTATCTACTTGAGGAAAGGCTGAGTAGTTTTTTATAATGCCAATAAAAACATCACACAGAAAATGAATACTGCAGATGGCAGGAAGCATGAAGGAAAAGACCTTGATTTTGGAGTAAACTTGTAACTTAGGCTATTTAGCAAATGAAAGATGAATAGGTAGGAGCATGCACAAACTCACCTGCTACAAGCCTGTCCTCTTGTCACCCTCTACTGTCTTTTGAATAATCTACTTTAACTAAAACCCGTCCAAAACAAACAAAGAGATGCATTATCGTCCTGTTTAAATACAAGCCAAATTCTCTTCTCTTTTAGAGAAATCTGAGATTTGTCTTTTTCTAATTTAAGACCACATTCTGACAGTTATCCTGCTTTCTTACTAAAAAATGGGATATTCCACTAGGAGTGGGCAAAGCCAGAATGACGACCAAAGACGAACAAGAATCAAATTTCTCTAACTTCCCCTACAGTCAGTTATCCTAAGTGCTTTCCAACACCAAGAATCAAGAAAAGGGGATGGCAGAATCTTCCTTTTCAGTGTAACAACACTGGCAAGCTGAGTCAGTTCCTCTTCTTTTATAGTAACTATGTTTTCCACTGGAATTGTGTGGATTTTTGCCTTGCATTAAAGCTAGCTCTGCTTTTACACCTTCAAGCACTGAAGCACAATCTCTTGTGGCTGCTTCTTTGTTCTGCCAACCTGTGTCTATGTGGCTTTTGTGGCTTTTGGATTTACTTGCATTATTTATGCAACATAATGAAATATGCAAGCATAGAGTAAAGGATCCGTTTGTTCCTGGCTTTGGCCAGTTCAGTTTATGAAGGGATTAAAAATAAATATTTGGGGGAGTGGTGTCAGAGCTCAAAGGTGAAAAGTACAGTTCTTAAAAACTGTAGCAGAAAACAGCATAAACTCAAGTTATTCTTATTTCCAGTACCACCATTTCATAACACATTTGTAAGCAACACGTATTTTAGTGTCACATAAACATATCAGATTATTAAGTAGAAATAAAGGAGATGTCTTTTTTTTTACAAAGTAGTTATTATAAAAAATTTCCCAATAGGATATATAAAATTTAGTGTAGAAAAGCCTGGGCATTCCAATTCCAAACCAGATAGTTTAAACGAGAAACTTAATTGGCAGGTATTTTACTGCATGCTCCTAAAATCCAGAAGAAATCAGTCCCTGACTTAAGCAGGTTTGGGCTCTGAAATGGCTCATGGTGAACTCCCCTATGCCTCCTTATAGATATATACAAAACAGGAAAGTATTTTGGCATTTTAGTTCTGAAAACTATCTTGGCATTTAAATTAACTTTGTAACTGCAAATAACCAAATAAATGCTGTTCGGGAATTAGGTACTAGACAGCAAGATGTTTTTAGAGAAAAAGTTACCTGCTTTGAAAACAATCTTGTTTTAACTATGCACTCACAGCATGTGGAAGGATACTGTAACAGTAGGCACAAAAATAATGCAACAGAACACCATATGGAATTATTGCAGGATAGGAAATACAATTAAAAGAGTATTGGCAGTTAAAGGCATACTGACAGAAAACCAACAAAGGTAATCCACCTTTCCTTACAGGTAGCACATTCTGTAATTCAACTACTTAACACCTTATAAAGTTTATTTTTTGACAACTTGTTGGTCCGTGGAAAATAACAGTAAATATATCTATTTAGAAATAATTCTCTTTGATAAGCATTGTTTTGAATTCATTAGCTTCACAAGTTTGCTGCCAAAAGATTCAGAAATATATTGGTTAAAAGTAAAGCCAGATATACATAATTACTCCATTTAAATAAATTATATGCTTCCCTCCAAAAGTAAGTTGAAAAGCAAAATTCAGATGTTAAACCTGTTTCTTCAACAGTCAGTGGTAGCCAGGGGACTAATTTATTTCACAGAATAAAGCCAGCAGTATTTTTTTTAAAGAATACTGGATACTGTAAGTATGAGCAGAATGCAAAAGAACTAGAAAACAAACCCCACCAATACTTTATTTTATAACAAATAAATATGATAGTGATGCAAAGGAAGAGGGGAAAACATTCCAATGTTCAAGGAGCTCATTTAGGTAACTCATCAGGAGTGAAGACTTAAATGGATGAATGCTGCAAAGTATATACAAAATTTTTAAAGTCTGTACAGAACTCAAGCATATGAAGAACATAAACCATCAGCATTTTAAATATATATATACACACACACATGTTGGTTAGATGTATTAACTTAGAAAAAGCATTTTGTAATTAACTGTTGTCTATCTTTTTGCAGCAGTCAGTAAAAATTAACTAACTTTATTCTCATTTACAGTTCTGATGGCAGAAGCACTATGCACACAGTATTTT